CATGTGGGGAGGAGGGGCTCCTGGCGGAGGCAGAAGTCTGAACTCCACTTATGTGCCCCTTTTGCTCTGCTTGGCAGGATCTTCTCGCACCCCAACGTGCTGCCGGTGCTCGGGGCCTGCCAGGCTCCACCCGCGCCTCACCCCATCGTCCTCACCCACTGGATGCCCTACGGCTCCCTCTACAACGTGCTCCACGAAGGCACAGGGGGGGAGGATGCGGGATGGCTGGACCCGATCCCTTCCTCTCTCAGGTGCACAGCTGGATATGTGATTGCAGGAGTAAGAACCTGAAAAGAGCCCTGCTGGGTCAGACCAGGGAGGGTCCCTCTAGTCCAGCCTCCCATCTCACACAGGGGCCAGCCAGTTCCCCTGGAGGGCCAGCAACAGGGCAGAGAGGCCGAGGCCTTCCCCCGATAAGAACCGCAGAAGAGCCCTGCTGGGTCAGACCAGGGAGGGTCCATCCAGTCCAGCCTCCCGTCTCACACCGGGGCCAGCCATTTCCTCTGGAGGGCCAGCAACAGGGCAGAGAGGCCGAGGCCTTCCCCCGATAAGAACCGCAGAAGAGCCCTGCTGGGTCAGACCAGAGAGGGTCCCTCCAGTCCAGCCTCCCGTCTCACACAGGGGCCAGCCAGTTCCTCTGCAGGGCCAACAACAGAGCAGAGAGGCCGAGGCCTTCCCCTGATGTTGCCTCCTGGCTCTGGGATTCAGAGGATGAGTGCCTCTGAATGTGGAAGTTCCCCTCAGTCAGCTTGGCTAGTAGCCACTGATGGATCTCTCCTCCATGAATCTGTCCAATCTCATTTAAAAGCTGTTTATTCCTGGGGTCATCGAATTCCATTGTTATTCCTGTATATGTATAAAAAGTATTTCCTTTTGTCTGCCCTGAACCTACTGCCCATCCGCTTCATTGGATGCCCTTGAGTTCTTGAGGGAGAGAAATTTGTCAGCTCTCCCCACCCCAGGCATAATTTGATAAACCAGTAGCGTGATCCCTGTTAGTTGTCGCTTTTCTCAACTGAGAAGTCCCAGAGGCTCTTCAGCCTTTCCTCACAGGGGAGGCGCTCCAACCCCCTCGTCCTCCTGGTCTCCCTCCTCTGTACTTTTCCCAGCTTTGCAGTGTCCTTTTGGACCTATGGCAGCCAGAACTGTACACCGCATTCCAAATGAGGCTACACCATAGATCTGTGCAGGGGTATTACACAGTCAGTCTTGGTTTTCAACATCCTGAATAATTTTGTGTCATCAGCACACCTGGCCACTACCCTACTCACCCCTAGTTCCAGATAACAAATTAAACAATACCACCCCCAATATCAATTGTTGCGAGACCCCACTGCATACTTCCCTCTATTGTGAGACCTGCTCATGTATTCCTATTCATTGCTTCTTGTCATTTAACCAGTTTTTAATCCATAAGAGAACCCATTCTCTTAGCTCACGACTGCCTTTGGAAGTCCGGGTGTATAATGTCTACCAAGTCATCATTGTCTACGTATTTGTTCACATTCTCAAAGGACTCCAAAGGGCTGGTGAGGCTGGACTTCCCTTTGTAGAAGCCATGCTGATTTTCCCTCAGCAGGTTTTGTCCCTCTATGTGCCTGACAATTCTATCTGTGCTTACAGTTTCTACTAATTGAGAGCCAGTCTGATGTCGTGGTTAAGTGCAGGCGGACTCTAATCTGGGAGAACCGGGTTTGATTCCCCACTCCTCCACTTGCACCTGCTGGATGCCCTTGGGCAAGCCATAGTTCTGTTAGAGCTGTTCTTGAAAAAGAGCAGCTTCTGTCAGAGCTCTCAGCCCCACCTACCTCGCAGGCAGTGCTCCCTCTAAGCTGTGGAGTCCTGTGAGCAAAAATTCTACTTTGTGAGCTACTGGCATAAAAGTTGTGAGCGAGCGATTTGGCTACTGCATAAACTAGTTTGCTCTGGAGCCCTCCTTCCTGAGCGAAGACAAAAATGTGTGAGCCGGAGGTGAAAAAACTGTGAGCTAGCTCACACTCACTCAGCTTAGAGGGAACACTGCTCACAGGCTGTCTGTCTGTTGTGGGTAGGGGGAAAGGCAAGGAGTTTGTGAGCCACTCTGAGACTCCTCCTTCGGGTAGTGAAGGGCCACATGGGGGGTATATAGATCCAGTCTCTTCTCTTTTTAATTTGCCTGGGACAGACGTGAAGCTGACCGGCCTGTAACTTCCTGGCTCCTCTCTGGATACCATTTTAAACTCTCTTGTCACATTTGCTACTCTCCAGTCTTCTGGTACAACAGCTGAATGTAGTGACGTGTGACGCACACAGGTTAGCAGGGCAACCATCTCACACCTGAGTTCCCTGAGGACTCTCGGGCGTGTGCCCTCAGGACCTGGAGACTGACCCGTGTTTAATTTCCCCAGTAAGTCTAGAATTTCATCTCTGGTCACCTGAATTTGGCTCAGTTCTTGACTCCGTTGCTGAAAATAGGGGCTGTGGTGGGGGTATGTGCCCCACACGGTAGAGTCCTGTAGGGACTAGAATGTTCATGCAGCTGCGTCTTTCCGTGTAGTACAGCTGTTACTATCTTGCATGTTATCATCGGTGTTCATTGCTGATTTTTGCTCTTGTCAGTACTGGGAAGTACCCCCCGCCCGCCCCCCCCCCCCCGCCTGATGGTGACTGCAGGATCCTAAGCAGAGGAAGGCCAAACTCCCAGCCCCTTCGTCAGAGGTTCTGGGACTCTCCTGTGTGTTCTGCCCCTTCGCTTCTGTCCTTGCCCACTGAGTGACGCCCGTTGTTCCTCCGACTATTGGAAATCTCAGTGGACTCTGAAGGTTTCTCTCTGCACAGAGTGTGGTTTCTCAGTCCCGACCGTGGGTCGCGCTAGAATGGCTTCGGATGTTCTGAGGCGGATGCCACATGGGAGGCAGAGTGGATTGCGCGGTGAATCGCCTTCCTCTGCCTGTTCGCGGCTTTTGCCACATGGGCGTTTCCCCCAGGTGCAGCCGGCTGGTGTTTCCCTTGGCTGCTGGCCGCTGGGGACAGTCTGCTTCTCCCCACAGTCCCCCACCCCACCCCCTGGCTGGGAAACCCTGCCCTCTCTTCTCTCGGGCCCTGGGCCCAGCGGGAACGGGCCACTACCACCCCGGCCCCTTTTCCAGCCAAGGTGTGGCATTGGGGGCACAGCAGGTCCCTCACTGGGGCAGCCGGCTGCCATGAGGGTGGCTGGAGGTCTCGCAAGGGAGCCATGGGGACTGCCGTTGTGGAGCTGTGTCCCCATGGGCGCATTGCCTGCTTCGGGGCTGCCAGCCTCTGCGTGGCTCCGCAGGTTTCCGTGGGACTTGGGAATGGCATTGCAGAGAAGACAAAGGCCCCAGGCGTGCCTTCCTCTTGGGGGCCCCGCTCCTCCCTGGCGGATTCCCCCTGTGACTCATTCTCGGGGTCATAGACTCATAGAACGTTAAGAGTCGGAACTGGGACCTTGCAGGTCATCTAGTCCAATCCCCCCTGCACTCTGCAGGAGCAGAGCTGAAAGAGAGCCCTGCACAGACCCGGAAGAGGGTCGTCCAGCCCACCTCCCGAGGCAGTCTCATTGCCGGGAGAAGCAGCAGGGGGCCCGGGGGGGGGGGGGAGACGAAGAAGAGAGGAGAAGCAGCCCCCACTCCTCCCGAGCCCATCGGCCTGGCCAGAGGAGAGTGGTTGGCCCCTCCGCCACCAGCCGAACCCCTGCTGTGTGCATCCGGAGCAGAAGCCAGACCGGCTCCCAGAGGGCCGCAGAAGGCCCCCCTCCGGGCTGCGTTCCAAGTGCCTGCTGAGACACACAGCACCCCCCACACACACACCCGGCCCCTTTTCTCTCGTGGCAGATTTTGTGGTGGACCAGAGCCAGGCGGTGAAGTTTGCCTTGGACATTGCCCGGGGCATGGCCTTCCTGCACACGCTGGAGCCGCTCATCGCTCGGCACTACCTGAACAGCCGCAGCATCATGGTGAGGGGGGCTCGCCGGGGGGGGAGGAGGAGGAGGAGGAGGCTTCTAGGAGCTCAGACGCAGCCTGTCTTCTCCAACAGATCGATGAGGACATGACTGCACGAATCAGCATGGCGGACGTCAAGTTCTCCTTCCAGTGCCCAGGCAGGATGTATGCCCCTGCGTGGGTAGCGCCAGAGGGTGAGTGGTGGCGGACGGTAGCCGGTGTGGCACAGCCCTCTCGTCTCCTGCGTTCCCCACCGGGGTGGGGGGTCCGCCTCTGGCTGAGGCGGCTGCCGTGTATCCGCTCGGCCCCCTCCTGGACAGGCGGTGGGCCCATTCAGGAGTCAGACTGGGGCAGGGGAGACCTTCTGCCTGCCAAACAGCCATGTTGCTGGCCACTGAACGGGGGCCTCCTCCCTCTCTCTCCCCCCAGCTCTGCAGAAGAAGGCCGAGGAGATCAACCGCCGCTCTGCAGACATGTGGAGCTTTGCGGTGCTGCTCTGGGAGCTGGTGACACGGGAGGTGCCCTTTGCCGATCTCTCCAACATGGAGATTGGCATGAAGGTGAGGAGGGGGCTCCGAGGTGGGGGCTGCTCTCCCGGGGCCCGCCGGCCCGCCCGCGGAGCTCCCCCTCCCCTCTCCCTCCTCCTGTCTCCCCAGGTTGCCCTCGAGGGCCTGCGGCCGACCATCCCACCGGGCATCTCCCCCCACATCTGCAAGCTGATGAAGATCTGCATGAACGAGGACCCCGCCAAGCGCCCCAAGTTCGACATGATTGTCCCCATCCTGGAGAAGATGCAGGAGAAGTGAGGGGGGGAAGGAGGAGGGTCCGCCCCCCTGCCCTGCCCGACAACAAGTGCCTTTGGGAGGGGGTGCCGCCCGGGCGCGTCCCCTTGCCCCGAGACAATACGGTACAGCCAGAGCCACCACCTTGCCCCCCCCCCGCCCCACAGGGGCCAGGCGGGGCCATATGCCTGCTGTATGTTGCCGCCTTCTTCAGTCACGCGTAACCAGCCCCTCGCCGCTTCAACATGCTCCTCCTCCTCCATACGTTAAGGCGCAAGAAGCTCCCACTCCGCTGTCTGCAGCCACCTGCCTTTCCGACATGACTCTGTTTTTACCTTTTCTACGCAGCCCCAAGGCAATGTAATAAACGGTTATTATTATTAAAGGACACTCTGTGCTGGTGGCTTTGCTTGCCCTGTAGGTGTCGTGTGTGTGCGTGTCCGCTGCTTGCGCAACAGAGCTCAGTGGAGTGCCCGCCCTCCTTTGGCAGCGCAAGGGGTGATATGCCCCCCCCTCACCTTTGGGGCCCCTCCCAGGGCGGAGGGGCCAGCACAGACCAGGGCCTGCAGATACGACCCCCCCACGTGGAGGCGGGAGAGGCTGGGCTCGCCGGCCTCGGGCGCTTGTGCCCAGTGACATCGAGTCACGGCCTGCAAGGAGAGTGAGACACAGAGGCGGTTGGCCCTCGGCAGAGTCCAGCCAGTTGGCACCAGCCCCGCAAGGAGGCGGCCCGGTCGGTTAGGGGGCAGGCACCCTGCAGAGTCACAAGGCTGGAAGGAACCTCCAGGGTCACCGAGCCCCAACTCCCCCCCCCCTCACTCACACACACACACACACACACACTATGCAGGGAATTCACAGATGCCTCCCTGCTACAGCAGGCTTGAACACTTGGCCCCGCTTCGAGCCCATGAAAGAGACAACGTGGATTTTGCGTGGACCGGTATGGGCTGCACGGTGTTTTTCAACTGGGCACCCTCTCTCGCTCGCCCTTCTTCCAGTGGCCAGAAACGCAAGGAGGTGGCTTCCCCCCCAGTGTTTTGGCCTCTCTGGTTTGGGGCGGAAGCCAGAGGGACACAGCCAGAAGGGGTCCTCCCGGGGTTCAGGGGCGGGGAGCTCCAGCAAAGTTACTCCACAGCCACCTACTTCAAAAATGGGTGTCACCCTTTATAGCATCTCTCACACAGACAAAAAGACATCAACTGACACTTGAATACACCCAGGTGAGACATCTGGACAGCTCTCTGCAAAGGAGCGAGAAGAACACAGACCCCCCACGCCCCCACCAACACTCACTCGGTGGAACTTCCTCCTCCGCAGAAAAAAAGGCATGACGTGGGCACCACAGTCCCTGCCCACTGGAAGCAGATGCAAAGTTAAGATGGAAAACACTCGCCAAAGGGGCACAGAAGGCAGCAGTGGAGGCCCCAGGAAGGCAAGCCTCTGTGACCGTTTGAGCCAAAAAATCTCTAGGGCTCCACAAACAAACCTGTTGCCAACCGTCCAGGGGACTTGGAGGGTGTTGGGGGAGGCCTGTGCCCCTCCCCCGGGCAGGGCACGGCAGGCCACACACCCTGGCCCAAGCTCTTCTCTCCTCTTGCTTGGGTCCGCTCCCTTCTAGCAACAGCCAGAAAAGGGGTGAACACAGCGCCACACACGGTCCCAAGAAAGCACTGGAATGTCATGGCGGCCAGCAGCACCACAAGGCGTGGGTGGGTGGGTGGGACTGGCCAAGGGCCAGGATTTTGGGGGGGGTGGGGGGGTGGCAGCGGGCAAGGGCCAGGAGTCCAGATGACGCTGGTCACCACGCTGGGCCTAAGTGAAGTAGTGGGGCTTCTTGACGTTGATGCCGTACTCCGCCAGGGCAGGGGCCAGGTCCTCCATGGTCAGCGTGTACTTCTTGTCCTGCAGGGAGGGGGGGGAGGAGGTTCAGAGGGGACCAGCCTGCCAGTTTCCTTCCCCCTCCCCCCATTCTGCCCCCTGCAGTACGCCACTGGCCAACAATGCCAGGGGCTCTTATTTAATTAAAAATACGCCTATTGTACGATATGCCCAAGGCAGCTTATCACGCAGGAACATGCACAGTTAGAAACAGGTGACATGCATCAAGTTGAAACCACAACTCTGGCAACATTTGCCACCACCAGTTGCCAGTCGGGGACGATCGCCAGTTGCTTCCGCCAAGGTCACATGGAAACAATCCCACTCTGTGCCTTTTATGGAAAAGAGTGAGCACTGTTCCTGGCAGGGCATGAGTCCTCGGAACGAGTGTGGACATTTGCAGCTGAACCAGCAGACTTCCCAGACAGAGAGGGGCCGTCAGAATGGAGGAGCCCAGTGACTTTAGCACAGGATCTCACGGGGAAAGGCGGTCCCAGTACAGGTGTCGGTCCCATGCCACAAAGGAAATAAACAGGTGTCCAGTGAAGCTGGCCAAGCACACGTATAATATGAGCACTCCGGCCTAAACTGGCCAAACATCCAGCGACGGCATTCTGTACCAACGGGAATTTGTGAACAGTTTTCAAGGGCAGCCCTACGTATAACACGTTGCCATCATCGAGCCTCAAGCTTACGCTAGCCCGGACCGTGACAGAATCAGAGTGGGAAAGGGGTCTCCAGGGTCATCTAGTCCAACCCCCTGCATAAGGCAGGAAATTCACAAATACCTCCCCCCCCCGCACACCCGCAGTGACCGCTGCTCCACGCCCAGAAGAGGGCGAAAGAACCCTCCAGGGACCCCGGGGCCAAACTGGCCTGGAGGAAAATTGCCTCCTGGCTCCAAAGTGGCCACTGGCATTTCCCTGGGCGTGTGAGAAAGGGGCCGCGAGACCCGAGCACTGAGGCCACCCTCCCTGCCTTGCTGTCCGGTGGCAACGCTACGCGGCAGTGAGGTCAACCTGATGAAGGGAGGAGGCCAGCTGGCCTGCCGCCTATAGGCAACAGAGAGCTGTCTGGAGCGTGGCCCTCCTCTCCAGGAGCCACCCTACCTTTGCCTTGTTCCGGGAGCTCCCGGAGGCCGTGCCTTTCATCTTGCAGTGCTGCAGAGCGTC